GCACTGCAGGACACCGGTTTGGCTAAGCTCAGCTTTTTGCAAGGCAGCCAACCCAGAGAAGCACTGTAATGGATAGTGTGTGTTCTAATGTAATCTAATCTATCCATCCATCATGTGTTTAGAGGCAATGCTTTATAGGAAATCAGTACTGAGAGAAATGCAGGTGTCGTCACTGCTGCTCCCTTCTCTGGATTAGCTTTGCTTGTTTCCTGTACCGGTCCAGTGATATAAAGAATGATTGGGCCATTGGCCAGGGGCTACAGGCCTTGGAAGCAGACATAGCTGAGCTGTCACTGTCCCACACTGCACAGGGGCTGAGTAGTGTTTACACCCTGTGCTCGGCTGGGCCGTAGAGTATAATGGCTCTCCAGTGTGCATCTGCTGGGGTTATCATTACTCCAGTGCTGGACAAATCCCAGGAGCCAGGTAGCCAATGCTTCTGACTTTAGAGGTTCTTTCTAGTTGTTTTCAATGGAGCTGGCTCCTGGATTGAACAGACTGGCTCCTGAATTTCCTATTAATATGCCCACCCCTGCATTATTCTCTGTAGTCAGGTCCACTGCATCCAGGATGTCACTGGAATGAAACACTGGCGAGTCACTGGAATGAAACACTGGCGAGTCACTGGAATGAAACACTGGCGAGTCACTGGGAACTTGGCATTAATTGCCTGCATCTGAGATCTGTACTTTTACTGATACTCAGGTCTGCACATCCAACCACTCTTGTAGGCCTTTGACTAACTTTAGAGGCAGCCAGCGGCTTTTTTGTTGACGGTGACATTGATTGCTTTGGCCATTGGCCAGAGACTACAGGCCTCGAACACAGACATAGCTGACTGTCACTGCCCCAAACTGCATAGGGCCATGTAGTGCTTACACCCTGTGCTAGGCCTGGACATGGCCTATAATAGCCGTCCAGTGTGCTGCAGGTGCTGAGCTTATTATATAGCGCCAACAGTTTGCACAGCGCTTCACAATATAAGGAAGACATTACAATCACAATACAATTCAAGACAAGATGGTAAAGAGGGCCCTGTCCCTGAGGGCTTACAGTCTAAAAGGGAGGGAGAAGTGATACATGAAGAGGTAGCTGTGTTTGGATGAATTGTTTGAGAAAGCTTATCATTATTCCAGGGCTTGACAAATCCGTGGGTCCAGGTAGCCAGTTTTCCTTAAGGGTGCATACACACCACAATCAGAAGGAACAATGTATCACTGTCCCATTGCACTGTCAGGCCGGAATCCCATGGTAATATAATGGAGGGTGCTGAATGACATGCAGATGGCGCCGCACAAATCCAAATGTAGAAGTAGTAGTCACTCACACACCGAGGTCCAATGCATCAATCTGTCCTTTTATTGACATCAGATACTCATGGCATCAAAAGTACAAAGCAAGCAAGGAGGGTCTGTTGACTTGCAATTGTTCCTTCCCTTTAACGTTGTGCTGCGATCTGTTTTTCAATAGATGCTAACGGAAGGGCACCGGAAAATGAATGGAGCTAGTTCACTCCGGATCCATTGCATTACTTTGGAACAGATTGTATTGGACAGACTGACTCCCGAATTCCATATTAATTTGTACACCCCGGCACCCCAATGCCCTTACCATACCTATACACGTGTTTACAGCCGGGCTGGACAAATCCCAGGAGCCAAAAGCTCTTTAATTGAAGCTGGCACCTTGTCTAGGTGTCAATGGAGAAAACTCCTGCTGGCTCCTGGAGTGGACAGATTGGCTCCTAGATTCCAGGTCACTTTGCCCACCCTGCCATACACCTCGGAGCCAATTTAGGGGAAAGCCGGTTAAAGGCCTGCTGAGCCCTCTTTGTTACTGTAACACAGTCAGGCTCAATATACAATAATAAATATGGTTTCCTCTCTCCCTGAGAAGCACTGTTGATCGGAGGAGTGTTCAGGACTGGAGTGGGGCCACTGGAGAGCCAGGCCCGCTGCATTGTGTATGATGGCAGCGGTCTGACTCTCTTACATGCCGTCTGGACATTTTAACCCGGTGCTGCAGCACTTGGCAGTTAGAAGGTAAAAGAGGAGCCAATGTGTTGCAGCCAAATTATATTACAGTAATAAATCAAGAGGGCTTTAGGGCCTATTGGAAGCTTTCAGATTGTTGGAGGAACCCCAGACACGCAAGGATTTGTCTAGCAATGCATATGTCTCATTTTTAATATACGCCAGGAAACCGGTACATTAAAGTCACAGCAGACGCCTAAATCTGGCTTTTTGTTATTCATGTCCATAAAAGTACGTGGTAAAAAACCCACCAGATCTGTATTCTGTATGAATTTGTGCTCCGCTTGATATGTTGGGTCTGTAGATTCAGGAGTGTGGACAGAGCAGCGAAGCTGGGACTCGCAGGCCTTGCAATGCAGGGGAGTGTCTTGTGTCCCTGTAAACACTCATTGTTTGCACTTCTACTTAGCTCCATGATGATGAGATTTAAGGAGGAGGAAGCAGCAGAGCTGGCAGACAAATGTGTAAGGCGGGTGAGGGGTATTTTTCCTTATTGTAAGGCTATGAACACATTCCTTTTATAGTGTGTAAAGCCAAAACATTCCTTTTTAAGGAATATAGCACATTTTTGTTTGCATTAAAACACACAAATAAGGCAGAAGAGTAGAAACGCGTAGTCCCTGCAAACATTGCTACTGCAAAAAGTTTTTATTTTTGGATGAGTGGGAAATGGTTAAGACTAGGGATGTACCAATACTAGTATTGGTGCCGATACCAAGTATTTGGTCGTGTACTCGTTCAAATGCTCCGATGCCTAGCCCGATACTTCCGGTATCAGGAAGCCAGGCAGCGCGTCATTACACGCTGCCCGGCTTCCTAATTGGCCAGGTTTCGACCAATTAGGAAGCCAGGCGCTGTGCAATGATGTCCAGCTTTCTGATTGGTCAGGAAGCCACCTTCATGCATGGAGTCGGCTTCGGAGCCGGGTGCTGCGTCATTACACAGCGCCCGGCTTCCTGATTGGCCAGAAAGCCGGCTCCATGCTTTCTCGTCATCTAGTGACGAGAAGCATGGGGGCGGCTTCCCTGCTAATCGGGAAGCCGGGTGGCAAGTCATTACACGCCGCCTGGCTTCCTGAATGGTGGAAAGCAGAAATCACCAGCACTCTGTAAATATCTTTGATGTCCATTTAATCAGACCAATCAGGACGTCATGGGGAGGTTACAAAACTCTCTTCAAGGGGTATATATATGTAGCTGTATTGATATAGACTGACTTGTTACATTGTCGCCCTGATGAAGGGATCCTGTGCGGTCGCTATTTTGTACATGACAATTGACGATTGGTCCGATGAAATGGACATCAAAGATATTTACCGAGTGCTGGTGATTTCTGCTTTCCACTGTTTGTTGCACGGTGCCATCCGTGATTGTCACTGCGAGCACCACTACAAGTACTTGGGCCGGGAGCGCTGTGAGGAGTGCAGAGGGACTTACTATTTTATACGTGGCTTCCTGAATGGGACTTCCTGTACTCTGTATCCGGCATCGCCGAGTACGGGAAAAAAAATATGTATACTCGATACAGAAATACCGGTATCGGTGCATCCCTAGTTAAGACCCAGGTGAGTTTTTTTGTTGTTTTGATTTGTCCCATCGGTGAGATTTCTCTTCACTTTCTGTCCTAGAGAGACGGCAACATCGAGGGAAATCTCCTCTTAAGCTGGCCATACACCTATAGATTATCTGCAGATTTTCTGTGGTCAGATGGAAAAAGTGCAACAGAATCCTCCATCTACGCTAAACTGTGTGGATGGAGGAATCTCCCGCTGGGCCAAGCTTCAGTATCTTGCTAGTCGCCCCCGCTGGCTGTCAAAACACCTGAACAGGCTGATTGGATGCCGGCATTGTTCAGGAGTTTTGAGAGCCAGCGGGGGCGACTAGTAAGATACTGAAGCTTGGCCCAGCGTGAGATTCCTCCATCCACACAGCTTAGCTTAGATGGAGGAATCTGTTGCACTTTCTCCACCTGATCGCAGGCAATAAATAGGTGTATGGCCTGCTTTAGACCGTTGTCACTGGAACGAGAGATCTCCCCAAATCGAGAGGAAGCCTCCTCTTTGATAGTTACCAGAATGGGTGTCCCCATTAGAAGATTTCCCCTCGCCCTTGTGTTCCTATGCTAACTCGATTTTGATTTCCACTTATTTGATATTTCCCATAAATTTATGTACCACAGACAATGGTTATTAACTTATTAGGACCAATAGGGAGGTTGAAACTCCACAGCAGTGGCACAGACTGTAATAAAAAATAAAACCCCTCACCTCTCTATCCAAAATGAAATAAATAAATATATATAGTCCTGTTGGGAAGATTCCTATCACTTCCTCGCCTGGAGACAAAACAGGAAGTGACGGAAATCCCATCTTAGACATTTGTCACTGGAACGAGCGTCCCCGTTCAAGGATTTCCTCTATAGGCAAGAAACATTTATTGCAGGAGAGGCATTCGGAGTCCTTTCTGCAATAGAAAAAACCTTTTGTAACAAGGTTTCACTTAAATGGGTTAGAACATACGAAGAGGTATTTCAGTATTTGTCATATATTCAGAAGGGTTAAAAGTTGACAGTTTTTCCTTTCTTGGGGGTTCTTATTGGTGAGATCTCTGTGCACAGTTCCTGGGTCTGCACACCTGCTGGGACCATTATAAGGTGTTCCCTATCTCCCAGTTGGGTTCCTATTTTTAGTTTTAAATTATGAGGAATGTAACGGGTGAAGATGGAACACACAAAGCTGGGTGGTGGCTTTACCAAAACTCCAAGGTGAATTGTAACTGGCTCAGGAATGGTAGGGATCTTGTCAGTTATCCAAGATTATATAAGAAGCCAGGAATAATCTTGGCCCACCGGGCTCCACTTAAATCTCACTTCTGGTTGGGCTGGACTTTTTGATTGTAAAGTGACTTATTGTTATGGGCTTGTTGATCTTTTAACATCTATTTTCTTCCCTTCTGTTTGTGTCCTTAGCCTCTGTATCCTCCCCCTCCGTCTGTCTCTTCCCACCTTCACTTGTCATCATGTCTCAGACTCTGCAAATGGAGATTCCTAACTTCGGGAACAGCATTCTGGAGTGCTTGAACGAGCAGCGCCTCCAGGGTCTGTACTGCGATGTCTCCGTGGTGGTCCGTGGTCACCAGTTTAAAGCCCACCGGGCCGTCCTGGCCGCCAGCAGCTCCTATTTCAGAGACCTGTTTCACAGCAGCAAGAACCCAGTGGTGGAGCTACCTGGTTCTGTCCAGCCACAGTCTTTCCAGCAGATCCTGAGCTTCTGCTACACTGGACGGCTCAGCATGAATGTAGGAGACCAGTTCCTGCTTATGTACACAGCTGGCTTCCTGCAGATCCAGGAGATCATGGAAAAGGGAACAGAGTTCTTCTTGAAGGTCAGCTCACCCAGCTGTGACTCGCAGGGTCTACATCCTGAAGAAACTCCCAGTTCCGAGCCACCAAGCCCCGCCACAACAGCAACCGTCGCTGCAGGAGGCACAGCCATGACCCCTCTGTCCTCTTCTTCATCCTACAACACCTCACGAGCTCCCCGGGTGAAGACTGAGAGCCAGGAGTCGGAGGCCGTGCAATGCACCCCTGTGGCCAAGAGACTGTGGGATGGGGGACAGAAAGACGCAGGAGGAGCGAATCGGAAGGTGCCGCGTTTTTCCCAAGGAGCAGCTACTGGACCAGGCGGCCCATCGGGGGGAGCAGCGGCGGCTACAATCGGTTCTGAGAGAACCAGCCCAGGAACGTCCAGTGCGTACACAAGTGACAGCCCTGGGTCCTACCACAATGAGGAGGACGAGGAAGAAGAGGTCACAGAGGATGGAACAGAAGAGCAGTACCGACAAATCTGCAATATGTATACAATGTACAGCATGATGAACGTCAACCAGGCCGGTGAGAGAGACAGTGGGGGCATCATCGGTATGTGTGATTTGGTCATGGTTGATCTTTGTGTGATGTATGTGTTGGGAGAATGACTGACTGCAAGACTTCAGATTAGAAAAACCTTTATTGGTCCTTAAAGGAGGCATTTTATTATCCTCTGAAAAATGTATAATTCATGACTTCGTAGGGACCAATATAGGCTTTGACTACTTTGTTCTCAATAGGAATTATCTGGTATTGGAAAAAAGTCATTTCCGCTACATGTTGTCCAGCTGTAAAATTGTTATTTGGATTAAAATGTATAAGAGGTGTCAGAGCAGTATACACTGAGTGGCCAGATTATTATAACCACCCCATCAGTACTTCGTTGTGCCACAAGATGATTACGTTCAAAGGCTGTTAAATCGCGTTGTTTCCCCGTATCTTCAGAAATAATCACTTCTACTGTCGTGGTAAACAACCGGCTTCCCTATTTATGATGGTCTGGCCCTCTAGCAACTTCAGTGCAAAATTATAGCTAATTTGCCTACAAACGTCATGTGGTCAAAATAATCTGGCCACTCGGTGTATATATGTAAAAAAAAAAAAAGGCTTAAAGGGACCTTTTTATTATGGAAGCTGTGCCCCCAAAAAAGAAAGGGTAGAGGACTAGTCATCAGTATTGCATGTGGTCTCCCTGCAGTTGATCTTCTCCCCATGAATGACTTACCATGCCTTCTTGTGCACAGTGTCCCTATGTCAGTGGTTCTCAACCTGTGGGTCGCAACCCACAGTTGAGGGGGCCCCCACTTGTCTTGTGCTGCTCTAGGTAAGAGTCTCCTCAGCCTCCACCTAGCATGACAGTGTCAGTTCTCCTAGATGGCGCTGCAGCATCAGAGACCGGAGAGGATCAGAGAGAGGGGAGCAGGCAAGAGTGAGCCCACACTGGGCACCACAGAGCCTGCACTGGGCGCCAATAGAGATTCCCACTAGCCACCTGAGAGCCTGCGTAGCCTCCAGAGAGCCCACACACATACTAGTATTGGTGCATCCCTAAATTCTACAGTTGCGGGGTCACCACAACTTGGCAAATGTTACCAAGGGGTCCAGGCCCTAGAAAGGTTGAGAACCACTGCCCTATGTGGGGGAAGTCATCTTGGAAGTGGCAGGGCTGCCCCCAGCGGGAGAGGTTGAGGAAGGACAGATTCAGAGAATGAGTTAGGCAAGGAGATCCTCTGCAGCAAGGAGATCCTCTGCAGCAAGGAGATCCTCTGCAGCAAGGAGATCCTCTGCAGCAAGGAGAACAGCAAGCACTACAGTAGTGATATCCCCAAAGCTCAGCTGGTCCACAGTGCCTTTTAGATAATCTCACAAAGCAGCTAAGAGGTTAAAGTCACCCCACACTCAGGAGTTAAATCTTAAAAATACATTCAAGCACCTTAACTACTAACAAAAATGTATCTTATTTGTGTATTACTCGGCTGTAGATCCTCAAATCATCTCTGAATTGGTGCCGACACTGTCCTTCCTTCTGGAGGGTGGTTACTTGTGTTCCCAAGTGGTCCCTGTGTGTTGTGAAGTAGTCCCTGCTTCTAGCTCGATCCCACGATGGACTACATTCTCATTACAAATTGGTAAACTAAACATGAGATTGCAGTCCATCCTGGGAGCGAGCTTGGATCTTCAGGGCTGCCTATCTTATAGACCGTTCTAAAGATCCTGCCAGTAACAGCACTTTGTGTTTCAGGCTGACAACGCTAAGCCATCTTCATGCAGCATTGTTGTCAGCCTGTCCCGCATGCTTCAAGTTGGCCTTTGGGCTGTCTACGTGATAAGCGTAAATGCAGTGCAGCAGACTGACAACACTACTGCTTATTACGAACCAGTGGGTTTGTGTTGTCTGCCTACAACAGGACTTTCCATCTGACATTGAGACCCTCTAGTTTCAGTACTTTGAGCCAATGACCTGGATCAAGCACGCAGTCTATCTTCTGACAGTAGTGGGACTTTCCTGATCTGCATACTTCCATATCACTTGCTCAGAAAGTATTGAGGTCCAGTTCAGTCTCAGCAAACCGGCTATTAGCGTTTTAAGATGAGCTCGGAAGTAGTCTCTGATTTTTTTCTTTCATGATATTGTCCTGGGGATATGGATGTTGGTGTTGTATTTTGTGTGTTGTCGATCCTGAGTGTTGAATTGTGTTGTCTATATACGTGTAGAGACCTTTGACCTAGCTAGATGTTTTGTTGTTTTTCCAAGTGAAAAGGTTGGTCAGTCTGCAGAATGCAGAAACTTCAGTTTTTGGTAGATCTTAGACTGTTTCATATCTCTTTAGAACTCTGTTAATGAGATCTATTTGCTGAGTTCCCAGGTCTGTACACCTGCAGTGCCCAATATGAGGGGTTCCCACCATCCCTGTGCTAAGTCCCTGGGTCTGCACACCTCCTGTGCGAATTATGAGGGGCTTCCACCATCCCCGTACCAAGTTCCTGGGTCTGCACACCTCCTGTGCCCATTATGAGCGGCTCCCACCATCCACGTGCCAAGGTCCTGGGTCTGCCACCTGCTGTGCCCATTATGAGGGGCTTCCACCATCCCTTTTGCTAAGTCCCTGGGTCTTCACACCTGCTGTGCCCATTATGAGCGGCTCCCACCATCGCTGTGCCAAGTTCCCGGGTCTGCACACCTGCTGTGCCTATTATGAGCGGCTCCCACCATCCCTGTGCTGAGTTCCCGGGTCTGCACACCTGCTGTGCCCATTATGAGGGGTTTCCCCACCATCCCTGTTCCAAGTCCCTGGGTCTGCACACATGCTGTGCCCATTGATATGCTTTAAGGATAGATTGTGGGCTGCATACAGGAAAGGTTTGGAAGCTTCTTACAAAGGGAATATAGGTTGACCAGGGTACCCATACTTTTGCACGCACCGTTTTTTATATCCTATTTGTTGGTGTAACTGGGTAACAAAATAAAAAGTAACGGCACATTACAATTGGCATAAATCGAATGCCTGTGGAGGTCGTGTAGACTTCTATTTGCTTAGAAAATCATTAGAACATGTCATTTAACAAAGGTTCTGCCGACCTTTTCCTGCCTTTGTATCTGGTGCTGGTTGTCGTAGTTGCTGTATGCTGTTCTACAAGCCTAATGGTGGCGATCCTTGTCTGTCTGTGTGTCGTGTTGTCTTCTTTGGTGAGTTCCAGTCCGTCGTCGTCAGTCTCGGTGTGCAGATTGCCCTCCCCTGGCTGTGTAATGTATAATATGTGTACCCTTGTGCTCTTACCATTAGAATATTCTTTGAATTCTTCAGCTGAGAAGGTGGAGGCTTTGCCTGATCCCGTCTTCTCAGACTCGAGGAACCGCGTTCGCGTCAAGCAGGACCTGGCCACGCTACCGGCTGAACTCATCAGCCAGATCGGAAACCGCTGTCACCCCAAACTCTACGAAGAAGGAGATCCTGCTGAGAAGATTGAACTAGTAACAGGTACATGCTTTTCCACCTGGCTCCTCCATTGAAAAAAAAACAACTTTTGTCAAACCTGGTGGTACTGACAGGGCAGTGTATGGCCAGCTTATAGGGTTTGTGTTTTATTCATGCATACATGCCGGATCTACTGTCATCCCCGGATCTGTAATGTCAATGGCCTTTGTATTAGTTATTGATGGCATCTCCTCAATGCATTATGTCATGTATGCGGTTGCTATTTATCATTTGTAAACCGCACCACTATTGGTTGTAAAAGACTTTAATAAAGATTGATATGCTTCAAAAAAAAAAAGCATAATCCATTGTTCACCAATGGTTTGTGGTCACCATTTCTGCTTTCTTACCATTTCAGGAACCAACGTGTTTATTACCCGGGCTCAGCTGATGAATTGTCATATTAGTGCTGGAACGCGCCACAAGGTCCTACTCCGCCGGTTACTGGCCTCCTTCTTTGACAGGTTAGGACTGGCATGGTTTGGTTACGATGGATCATTCGACCTGCTTCTGTGTGTGTGTGTGTGTGTGTGTGTAGAACGGGTCATTAGTCTTAATACAAAGGAACTAAAAAAAATGTCCCCTTCGTTACGTTAGCCTTATTTTTTTTTTTTTCCCTCAGGGTACAAAGATCTGTTCACATCAGTCCCCCCCCCCCCATCAAAGAGGACTATATAGTCTGATTTTTCCTGCTGCAGACATGCAATCACACACCTTTTAGGGCCAGTTTAGTGACGAGCTAGTTAATTATCAGTATGGTTTTGGATTGTGGTAGTAGCCACACACGCATACAAGCTGAGAACCTACACACTCCATGCAGATGGTGTCACTGATTGTAATAGAACTTGTGACTTAAATGGAACTTTACCCATATCTTCAAAGTAACAACAAACGCACCTTTAGAAATGTTTAGTAATGACAATCTACAAACGCATACTTCTAGATAATTGCTGGCGTTGTTTTCCTTGCATACCTTATTTTACTTTTCCTCCCCATTCTTCTCACAGGCGCTCAGTTGGGGATGAATGGTGTGACCACCACCCATCCTAATCCTCATTTTTACTAAGGGCAGGTTACTATATGTTCCTTTACTTCCTCGAACTCTGGCACATGTGACTAGGACATTTGACCATGCACATCATCTCAGGGGAAGAAAATGCCTTTACCTGAGATCGCAGATGAGATTTCCCAGCATTGCTCTGCTGATGTAAACTTCCCAGGATGCAATGTTTGGGCACATTACATCATTTTTGTGCTAAAGAGGACTAGGAATTAAAAAAAAATAAAATGTTTGTTTAACTAATGAATGTAAGATGATTTCATATCAGCATGCAGAGCTGCTGTGATTTTTTTCGTCAAAGGGGGTAAAGGTCCACTTTAAAGCGTATGTCAGGGCAAAATAAAATAATCGTATGCCGTACCTCCCTGCAATGTATGCACATTTTCCATGTTGTATCCCTTTTAAACACTCAAAGTACAAACCAACCTGGTAAAATGCCAGAAGTATACTCCTCTTCTGGTTTCCTGTGTTGAGCTTGCAACATGTGGCCTTTTCTGGACTGAAATTGCAAAAAATAGTATCAGCCCTGCCCATTTGTCTTTTGTTAAACAACTGAATTCCTTCTCCTCTCTAAAGCATAGATCAGGGTTAGGCAACCTCAACACACCAGCTGTTGTAGAACTACATCTACCATGAGGCACATCAAGACTTCGAGCCACAGATATGACTTCCAGAGGGAGATGCATGATGGTATTTATAGTCTCGCCACACCTGGAGTACCGAGGTTGCCTACCCCTGACATAGATAGCAATTGCTCTGTAGCCCATGGCAAGAACCGGGAGGACTTCTTGAGATAACACGGGCAGAGTGCACAGCTCTAAACTGACCCCAACAGGGCAGAAAGAGGAAAATCTTTAAAGGAGAACTATGAGGTGAATGATTTTTCACTCATCCTCATAGTTCGAGCCGACGTGTGACAATGAGACTGTCACACGTCGGCTCAATAGATCGGGAAGTGAGCGGACACATACCGTCCCTCGCTCACTTCTCGATCATGTCCCTGCAGAGAGCCGTGACTGTCACGGATCCCTGCAGGGATTCCCCCGCTCCGATGCTCCAGCGCTGACTGGAGGAACGGACGGGTGAGGGGGCGGGTACAGCTGGCTTTGCCTCTAGATAGGCAGAGCCAGCTGTCACTCACGCAGCTGGGTGGATTTCGGCAGTAATGCCGGGATCCGTCCCGGCTGCGGCGGTCTCAGCATACCGCGAGCTGTAGCTCGCAATATATTGAGCTTTAGGTCACGGGAGGACGCTAGTATATGTCAAACACTTACCCCATAGTTCTCCTTTTAAGATCATTAGGAGTCGGCAGTAGCCAGGCCATGTCATGAATCACAAGTAGATATATTTGTTGTGTTCTGTGACCTAGCTCGGCTTAGGACAAAGACGAGTTTCCAAGCAGTCTTTCCACATGTAAGTGATTGGTAGAGGTGTGATGACATCATAAGCTTGCTTTTTTTCCCATAGAAATGCCCCAAGTTGCTTTAAGTGGTTACGTTAGATGGACATTTTGCATTGCGGAGTTCTTCCACAATATTTTATTTTGTATCTTTCAGGAACACTCTCGCAAACAGTTGTGGAACAGGAATCCGCTCGTCCACCAATGACCCCAGCAGGAAGCCCCTGGATAGCCGAGTGTTGCACGCTGTCAAGTGTGAGTGTTGTAATGTTGTCTTCTTGGATATTTGGAAAAGCAAATGTTGGTTTCATATACTGCAATCTACATAAACGTGAAGCTGCAATGCAGAGCGGGGAAAGGTGACTACTGGTCCATGGTTGAATATTATACATGATCTGAGGAAGGTATTGTGTCATGCAGGAAATAGTCAAGCAGCTTTTGGTGCTGTGACAGTCTCGGAGCTCAGTTGGGGATGAATGGTGTGACCACCACCCATCCTAATCCTTTATCAAAAGAAGGTGGAAATACTCCTTACTGCATACCTAAGCCCTCCTCGTATATCTGCTCTTTATATTACCCCTACAGCAGGGCTCAAAATTTCCACTCGCCTGCTCGCATTTGGCGAGTGGAAATGCAGTGCAGGCGAGTGGAAATTCCTGTCAGGCTTGCGGTCGCAGATCGCGTACCTGACTCGTGGGAGCAGCTGCTTCTGCCGGTCTGTCTCCCTTCCTTTCGGCCGGAGCTCTTCACTGAGCTCCGGGTCGAAAACGGAGTGATGAGTAATGTCTGCAGACCTTGCTAATCGCACCAGATCACCAGTGATCTGCCTGCTCGCCTCCTCCCTGCAGAAAGACAAGCAGGTGAGGGGGCTTCCTTGTATTATGTTACATTGTGGGGGCAGGGAACAAGGGGAGGGGATTATGTTATGTGTGGGGGGCAGGGAACATTGGGGATTATGTTATGTGTTTGGGGGGCAGGGGGATTATTGTGTTATGTGTGGGGGACAGGGAATGTAAAAGTTGTCCCTTCAATTGACCTTTCATGTCTTCCACAGTTTACTGCCAGAATTTTGCCCCGAACTTCAAGGAGAGCGAGATGAACGCCATCGCAGCGGATATGTGCACAAACGCCCGGCGTGTGGTGCGCAAGAGCTGGATCCCAAAGCTGAAGCTGCTGATGGCCGAAGGAGACGCATACACGTCTTTCATCAACGACACTGGCAAGATGGAGCCCGACCTGATGGGGGCGGCCACCGGAGGCGACCATGGCACCGGCTTCGACGGCGAGCCAGGCGAGGGGATGCCCTGATACCCTCCTGTAACGGGGGCCCACGCATGTAAATATCGCCCTCTGTCTTCACTGAGGGAGGAGGGGGGTAGAGGACAATGTGGCACTCAGGAGGTGGACTATAATCTAAACGCCGCAGTAGGAGGTGCTAAGTATGACTGGGTCGCTGCTGCACGAACTAGAGACTGGTGTGGAGGTACTCGGTATCACTATACACTGCTGCATGAGGTACTCTGTATCATTTAGCGCCCCGTGTTCCATTATCAGTATACAGTTATACGCAGTGTCATTATATAGCGCAGCGTGTACATTATCAGTGTATAGAGATACTCCGCATCGTCATACAGCACGTCAAAGGTCGTAGAGCTGAAACAGAGATTCACTTGTAAATAAATACTTTGCGTCATTTTATAGTGCAGTCGAGGTAGAAGTACGGTAATCTCACTGGCCAACCGATAACCCAGTCCTGCTGCGAGATATAGCATTTTTTTTTGTAGTAACTCCCTACATTTTTCAAGTCCCTCCTGCCGCATTCAAAGAATGCATCAGAGGTCGCCATTGAGCATGCTGGCTGCGCACAGGAAGCCTGGGGTGCTCGGGCGTGAAATCAGCTGCGAATACGACTCATATATTCGCTGGCTTGCACGGTGAGTACTGGCGTTGCACAAGCTCCTTCAATAAGGAACAAATATAAGCACCTATAGCAGCCAATTAGATTTCAGCTTTTTGGAGTCAGATGACTGAAAGAATTATTCAAATTGGTTGCTGTGGGCCACCGTACTTTGTCTTACTGATAACTCCGATTGACTTTATTTTCTTTACTGCACTAGAAGCAAGAGATAGACCCCCGCTTGTTGTTGAGGGCAGCACTGTCTTTTTACTGTGCTCCAGGTTTTGGTGATCTCCTAATGTGTTCTCTGATCTTGCAAGCAGAGATCTCGATCTCATAACATTTTAAAAAGGTTTTTAATAACCACATGCCTTTTCTCCAAAGTTTGGTGAATCGGTCTCCTTGGGCCTGGCTTAAAGTGAGCCAATCACAGGAGACCAGTTTGTGGGCAAAACCAATATTTTATGGGATACAACTTATTCCTCTAGGATCCATCTTTCCGTGGCTTTCCCTAATTGAGCTTCCTTCTCCCTGTTTACATTTTACCTGCATGTTGGCAGGCGGGCAGCCCATGCACAGCATGCCTTTGTTCCTGAGATAGTCGCATCGCAAACACCTTGACTGGTCATGATGTAATCTTACAATCCATCGATAAACTGGAGTTGTGACCTGTGAGTGTACGTCATTGGTTTCTTGCGCTCAGGTGCAACGGTAGCTAGCATTAGGGCTGCCGATAACAAGAGATGGGTCCATGGTGTGGGATTCATCTTATATTTCCAGTTTTCATCTGCTTAGCAACTTGTACAGTAGAAAGGTTTTATTTTTGCACTGTTCCTGAGCAGGTTAGACCCGGCAAGTGAATAATTGCTTGCTATGGGCACCCGCCATGTTTGTCCTTTGCTGTAGTTAATACACGGGGGGGACCATTCTTTGCTAAGGGCCTTATGTATGAAAGGGTCTGCCCATAGCAATCCATTAGATCTAGTAGGGTGAGAAACTAGTTGCCTAACGCCGCAACCTTTTAGACACTTTTATGTTTTATTTTTTTAATAATATGCAGTATATCTGGGGCTCAAGACATAATATCACCATATGCAAAGCCACATGTCAGATCTGTTGTTGGGGGTCAGCGGTGAGCATGAGATTTATAATAATTTATTAGCATGAGAATTCCACGTATGCTAAATTGCTTCAAAATCCTCCCACATATTGGAGCCTTCGCACAAAGCTGCGAGGGTGGATCTGATAAGGGTTTGATTAATAACATGCGTGGCTACACTTGTTTGTCGAATGGTTAGTCTGAATGGCAAACAGAAAACTTAGCAGCGAGGATACAGAGTAAGGCGCTTCCACCAATGCCTGGTCCGGTGCGACGCGTCTCAGTAATTCACGGAGTCTATCACAGCTCCTATACTGACCGGGTTCAGAAGAGGGGGCCGTAGGGTAGAGCTGCATGTAGGATTAGGTAGTGACTGTTTTATTTGTGTGTATATATAGGTGAGCAGATTTGCAGCTTCATTACCGATTTGTATATTTGCATAAGCACAGAATTCTCTCCAGTGGTTTTAAAAAGAATGCGCCAGGATACACAACATGTAAACATTGTTCCCTTTTAGGGTGGGGAGGGTAGAGAATTAAGTAGATATACACTTTAAAAAAAGTCTTGTCCCCCACTACTCCTACTTCCTATTTTTTCCCAGCTGTCTTCTGGCTGGTCACATGACATCCTTTGGTCCTACCTCTTCTGTCCCGGTGCTGGGCGGTCTGCAGTCTGAATTGCTACAGAAAATGGTGCTCACATACTGAGGGTAGTGGTGGTCTCTCTGCAGCATTCTCCTGCGGTTCCAGGCCAGCATTATGATGCATCTCCAGGGGGTGTGTCCTTGACAGCCTGGGCTCACCGGATGTGGGTTGATTGATGCTGGACGGCGTCATCCGAACTGGAAGATTAGTGGTGGAAAAGGGAACGGAGGGCAGGGCTGGAGCGTGCTTTTTCTTTATTTTTTGGGAGCAGTTCATAAAACTAAAGCGGAAATCTGCTTCTCGGAAAGCATCTGCAGACGACAGGTCAGGTCTGCCAGTGAAATGTTATCGCAGTCGGAGCCGGTTTTCCATCAAGGGAACCTGTCAGCCTGTCATTATAGGAGCTTCCATATCGGATTTGTTTTCTTGCACTAGTTTCACTATGGAGTGAGTCACTGACTCGGAACAAGCAAGAGCATATCAGATCTTACTCCTCACACCGGATATGTGTATGTTTTTTCCAGGTCAGTGACTCACCGAGCATTAAAGGAATATTAGATGTGAAAGCCCTGGAGCTTGCATGACATACAAAACCAAATCTGCTGTGGGAGCTCTGATAGGTTGTATCCCGATAGGCCACTCCATTTATTACCTGTTTTATATAACCCCTTGGATCCAGATCCAGCACAATCCTCAAAATGCATCAGTAGCCTTCCTCTCGTGCAGCTCGTGCCTTCTGAGGCTGCAGAGAAGGTGGTGCTGGAGTCGGTTAACGTGCTGACCTGCATTTTTGCAGACTTGGATACAGAACGGGATATGCTCTAATGTTCATCTCTACATATTCAATCTAGAGATGAACATTAGAGCTTGGAGAGATGTCAGATTTATAGGTCATTCATAGGTAAATCTTAATGGCGTGTAGTCATAAGCAAACCATGTGCAGTACATCACTACAATACAGACACATCTCCCCCATGTTTTATTCCTTTAAAACACCAAGTGCAGAAAATACATAATCAAGAGCCTGGCGCACAAATGACTTCAGCATTGATGAAGCTTTATTGTTCCAGACAACACAGAAGGTCCACCCACAGAGTTGTACTTCTGAGACTAAGCCCTCTCTGGGTGGACCTTCTGTGTTTGGAACAATATCTACTCACCTCCTCTGGGTGAAACGCATCTGAAGAGAATGCCTGCTGTATTTATTGTCTGGAACAATAAAGTTTCATCTTTGATGTCCTCGGAGTGTGGCCGGTCTCATGACACGTGGCATGCGGGGACGAGCGCCATTCAGCCGTCACCTTTGTCTACAGACATGGACGGTTTCCAGAAATCCAGTGAGCTCCCTTTTATTTGATTTATTTTTTTGCACTTTAGGATGGAGTACATTGGATTCCTAGTGGCTTCTAGTAAAACCATTTCCCTCGGCTTTAATTGCAAAATGATTTTGTTGCCACAGAACCCTTGAAAAGTAGTTCTCCTATAATCCTTAACTTTTCCTTATCCTTGCAAGTTGTCTTTGGAATGGTAAAGAAAAGCTTACCTACTGTGCAGATAACAACTGCGTTCACTCTGCACCACGCAGCCTTCTGGCACTGGAAGCTCTTTGTGTAGCGAGCGCTTCTAGAGAGTGCTGCTGAGGGATTGGAGACAGTCCTCTTTTGGGCTGAAAAGTGATGACTGGGAGCAGCTGGTGCACAGAAAGCTGCATGTAAACCAATGCCAGTAAGTGGCAGGAGGGCTGCAAAGCACACGGCAGACCCTGCTATTCAGTTATTTGGAGAATCTGCAGGGACAAGTAAAAGCGAAGGCTTTGTGCTAAAAGTAAACTTGTTCTTTCAAGCACCTAAAATTCCCTTCAAAATCCAAACCTTTCTCGGTATGAATCATCTTTTCATACAGTCCCGGAACGACTTGCTGTAAGACTGTTCTCTCACCGTATATAGGGGACTGTTCAACTTTTTATATATCAAAAAAAAGGAGGAGGGGGGTCTATAGTTGGCTCATAGGCCCTCGGGGGCGGGCTGTTAAGCAAATTTGTCAAAAGTAGTGACACCACGCTGCAATATTTTAAATAGGTTTCCCAACAATAGAAAGCCCTTTCTAGGCTGAATTTGGCATGCGCAGTGTCAGTAGATAGGATCGGTAATGGTTAAAGGGTCAGTTTTTGTCTGCTCCTATAGGGTCAGTTTCCTGTCCAGGGAGTAAAACTGGGAAAGAGCGAGCCGCTCTTAATGATGGGTACATTAAATTTGGGAATTAAAGGCCAAGTTTACTTTTCTGACCATGTTTCATGTTGCACCCCTATTCAGGGTCACAACTCATCCCCGTCCTTTTTCCATTTACCTGAATTGCAGGGTTCTTCTTCCCACAGGCCGGTGTATTATTTTCAATTCAGGGTGGCTATTTAATAAGGTTAAAAGTAATGCACTTACAGGATATTAAAAAAACATCTCGCCTGTCACGCATCAGATGAAAGTCCCTTCTCAGCTACTGGTCTGAGATTGTTATCAGGATAGGGAGAAAGCAGAGTGCAGTTTAGTCCAGAAAGATCCCAGGACGCCTGTGCTGGAAGACACAGGTCTGATGCTGTGGCTGGTTCTCCTCAAAGCAGGGTCACAGCTGCTGAGTACTTCCGGGTCGTCAGGTGTTGCTAGGCAATGCGTTTCAGAGGTTCGCCTCCTTTGTCAAGCCTATGACAGGATCTGTGAAAGAAGAAACTACAAGTCCCCCCAGCTATGTTATTGAATCTCCCTACCTCGGGACAGACAGGAGGGAGAGTCTTTAGGAGCCAGAGCGTTGCACCCGCCATCCACTGATCATGGTTGCAATGCTCACCTGGTTCCAATGCAATAATATAATAATAAATGCACATTTGTTACCTTTATCAAGAATTGTGCATTTATTAACTTTTCCTAAAAGCTGGCATTTCCCTTTCAAGCCTATAGAGCTTAGCAGCGGAATTTCCGAGAGTTGTATTAAAGTATTGTTTAAGCTGAACTACAGCTAAAAAGATGGCGTCACTCAACCCCCTTTATGAGCCCAGGGTTTCATGGGGTGTTACCATCAACATCACATAGGGGGGGGAGGGG